ACAGCCACCTTGCCGCTCAACGAGACCGACTCGCCCAAACCCCTGCGGGCAGAAAGGTCCTAGCGTCGCTCAAGATTCCCTTCCGGACAGGGAAGACACCACGGCACCCCTCCCAAGGCACATCTGGAGCCAAATCAAGGTGCACGCGATCCCCCGCAACATATGGACCCGACCCTCCACGCGGAACGCCGCAAGGCTCGGGCGAGGTTCTACCAAAAGGCGTATGGTAAACGGGCTGATATCCTGTACACAGACGCGGCCACATATGCCTATCAACGGAATGCAGCGGCAATATGCGTCGTGGATGGAACTAGGAGCACCCGAGTCACAGCGTCGCTGCGCACCTCTAATACGACCATTGCAGAGGAATTCGCCATCGCCATGGCCATTGGGCTCGGAGAAGATCACGTCACCACCATGAGCGACTCACAAGCAGCACTGCGTCGCTTCCTAGCAGGCCGTGTCTCGCCGAAGGCACTCAAGGTCCTCACTCAGAGAGACCGACAGGACTTCCCCACAGTGGAACTCATATGGATCCCAGGACACGACGAGGTGGAAGGCAATCGGTGTGCTGACATCGAGGCCCGAGCATGCACCCTCCGGGCCGCTCCTACCGCCGCGTCGCAACTAGGGATAGATGCATACTTTATTCCGGTGCCAAACACAGTGGTGCCAAACAGGTACTTAGAAATCAGGGCCTACCATCGTGGCCAGAGGCGTGAATACCCCCGCCACACAAAAACCTCAACAGGTTTTTGTGTGGCCGGTCGGGGGACCAACAATTGTGAGGTCGGTCGGGGGACCAACAATGGCGGGACGCACACATGCTTTTGCGTATCTCCGTCTTTTTCTATGCCTGGTGGCATTTGTGAGCCTTCGCAGGAGTTGCCTTCCGTCGTCAACAGCGTCGACAGAGCGTGGAAATCGGGTGGCCCATTTGTGGACAATAACAGCTTCGCCAAGCACCGCTACCTGTAAAGGCGAACTGTTGTGGTGGGCAGGCGTTAGGCCTAACGGCCGGCCTTTATCCGCTGGCTCAATCCGCCGTCAACCGCATCTCATCTGGCTCCTTCTCATCGCCGGTGACGTGCCCCCCAATCCTGGTCCGCGGCCCACCTGCCCTCGCTGCTCCCGGTCGGTGTATGACAACGTGGCCGCACTTCAGTGTGACGGTTGTGACTTCTGGCTACACCGAAAATGTGAGGACGTATCCTTTGCGTCGTATCGCCGCCTCTCCTCATCATCGTCAGAGTGGCTCTGTGCTGCATGCCAACTTCCGCCCTTCGCCGACGACTTGTTCCCGTCCGAGCAGAGCCGAGTCGTGAACTCCAACACCAGCTCCTCCGAACAACCGGCAGTGCAGGCTTCCCCCGTGACCATCGCTTCCCCACCGCTTCCCTCTCCTCCGTCGGCGGCCAAGAACACCAACCTGGGAATATGGTTTTCGAACGTGCGCTCGCTGAAAAACAAACTGCTTGACTTCCGCACTCTTCTCATATCCTACCCGGACACAGTATTTGCAGTTTGTGAAACTTGGCTTGACCGCTCAATACCTGACGGGCTTCTTGTGGATGTGGAAAGTTTTACTATCTTCAGGAAGGACCGAGCCTCGAATGGAGGAGGTGTGCTGGTGGCGGTACCCTGCAACATGACCTGCCGGAAACGCCAGGACCTGGAGCATGAGCACCTTGAGGCTGTATTCGTCGAGGTGAATCACCACCAAGGAAAAGTGCTGATCTGCTGTGTTTACTGCCCCCCACCTACGATCTCCTCGGCAACTCCCTCAGGCGGGCTGGAATGGGCAATTACCTGAACATTTGCGTGCTGGGAGATTTCAACGCGCATATCGACTGGACGGATCCATCTGCTCCCATCCCATCGGCCCCCTGTGATGATATGCTACTTGATATCATGGAGACCGGCGGGTTCCTACAAGTTTGTTCGGAGCCCTCCTATATTTCACACTCTGGGAAAACGTCCTTCCTAGACCTGGCCTTCGTTACCAATCCAGCACTTGTCTCGAGCTGTTCCCTTGAGTCCAGTCTCCCTGGCTCCGACCACCACGCAATTTATCTCAAGAGCCTACTCAAGCCGCCAAAATCTGGTCCGCACGCGAAGCGAATCCAGCAATTCTTGAAGACTGACGGAACGCACCTTCAAAACCTGCTGCACCTTGCACCCTGGTCCCTGGTGACTGATGAACCTTGTATTCACGATGCCTACGACCTCTGGTTAGATCTCTTTTCGGCCATAGAAGCAGAATGTGTTCCCACAAGGATGACGACTGGCCGGCAGCGACCATGGATCACTCAAGATATCATTCGGCTCTCCCGTAAGAAACGCCAGTTATTCAAGAAAGCACGTAGGACAAAAAATCCACTCCACCTCAGCACAGCGCAGCAAGCACAGAAAAGTCTGAAAAAACTAATCTACTCTGCACACAGGGCCTATATGGAGTCGATTGCAGAGAAAGCCATCCATTTCCCAAAGCTTTTTTGGGCCCATGTAAACAATCAAAGAAAATCATCCTCCCGTCCTGAATTGTTAGTTAACGGAAGCCAGGTAATAGAACCCGGGGCTATAGCGGAACTTTTCAGTGACCACTTCTCATCGGCTTGGACCGACTCTGGCAACCCCTCACTTCTACCCTCCAAAACGCCTCGTTGTAGTTCACCACTTGCATCGTTCGATGTGCGGGAAGAAGACGTTGCAGAAGCACTGCAGCGTATAAACCCATCTCAGAAGGCTGGACCTGATGGCGTGCACCCAGCTTTCCTGAGGATGTGCTCCAACAAACTCAGCCCGATCCTGGCAAAACTTTTCACGAACTCTCTTCGTGCCGGCTCTGTCCCCCGACAATGGAAGACTGCCCAAGTCACCCCGATACACAAGGGAAGCGGGCTGTCCAAGTCACTCGTGTCCTCGTACCGGCCAATATCAACTACATCCATCGTATGCAGAACAATGGAGAGAATAGTTAACCGACATTTACTGGAACACATTGAGCGACACCAGCTGCTTTCCTCGCACCAATACGGTTTCCGCCCCGGCCGGAGCTGTGAGCTAGCTCTCGCAACCGCGGTTCACACCATCAGTAGTTCCTTAGATGGACGTACACCATGCGAGCTCGTCCAACTCGACTTCAAGCAGGCCTTCGATAAAGTTGACCACTCGATCCTATTGCAGAGACTCTCCGACATTGGATTATCCGGCAACCTGTTGGACTGGGTAACGTCCTTCCTGCTCGGTCGTACCCAGCACGTAGTCTTCGGCGGGCAGAGGTCTAACACCGCAGAGGTCGTGTCAGGGATTCCTCAGGGTAGCGTCCTAGGCCCTACCCTCTTTAACATCTTTATTGATGACATCACCCGGGTCTTAGGTTGTACGCCCCTTCTTTATGCCGACGGCCTCACCCTCGTGCAGCCAATCCGTCGCCCCCTCGATCACCAACTACTCCAAGCGGACCTGGACAATGTTGTCGCCTGGTCGGGAAAAAACAGACTTCCACTGAACTTTGCCAAGTGCACTGTGATGCAGATATCCTCATCCAGGCAGCAGCGTTCCGCACTCCCCTGCTACAACCTCGACGGAGTGAACATTTCCAGAACGACCAGCACCAAGTTGTTAGGTGTCAAACTGGACTGTCGACTCAGTTTCGGCACTCACATTGCCGAAGTGATCTCCCGAGCTCGAAGGATGCTGGGTTTTGTTACCCGTGTCTCAAGAGGGGCCGGGTCAAGAACACTGAGGCACCTCTACACCGCACTGGTGCTGCCGCACCTTGAGTACTGTGCCGCAGTCTGGGACCCCCCTCAGGCCACCTTATCCGCTTCTCTTGAAAGTGTGCAAAGACGTGCCGCGTACACTATCTTGCGGTGGCAGACCCCTCATGTCCTCCGGTACCGGGACATAGCTACGAATGATCTGCTGGCACGTGTGGGTTGGAACTCCCTGGCCCTGCGCAGGAAAATCTCCTCGGTCCGGCTTTTGGCAACCTGCCTCCTGCCAGAGGCTCCCGAGGTTCCTCTTGCTCGGCAGCTGCGGCTGAACCGGAACGGTGGCCTTCAACCACTCTTTGCCCGCACTGACCGGCACCGGAATACCTTCGTCATCAGGGCAGTAAATCTGTGGCGGTCCCTGCCATCAGAGCTGACAGCGGGCCTGAGCGAGAAAGAAGATATAAGACCCATCTGCAGGGGGGCAATACCGCGCTTGCGGTCCTAAGCAGCACGCAGCCGAGTGTTGTTTTGTTTGTTGTTGTTTTGTTTGTCGTTGTTGTTGTGTTTTTTTTTTTTTTTTGTCGCTCATGTAACTGCGGCACCACAGACCTCCTGGTATGGGCTCCTCGCCTTTTGTGGTGTCGCAACTCTTTCCGAGTTGAATGAATAACAGAGAGGACGCGGTCGCTTGGCGCCAGCTCCAGACAGGAGCGTTCCGCAACATAGCGCTCTTGCACAAATTCTACCCTACAAGCTACAAAGCCGAATGTCCGCACTGCGGGCAATATGCTTCCTTATCACACACCGCGTGGTTTTGCACCGCTCACCCTAACCCTAGAACACCCCCCCCCCCCCCCCCCCCCCCCCCCCCTCTCCCACCCTGATCCCACTCCTGAGAACTGGGAAGCCGCACTGCTCAGCTCGTCTGCTGCCGACCAACTAAAGTTGATCGGGCGGGCGAGGCTGACAGCCGACAGCGTTGGGGCCCTGGACTAAGGGAACCACCCAGAGACCCATATACAGGCATAATAAAGTTTATCCCTCCTCCTCCTCCTCCTCCCAGCTGTAGGCTGTATAAACATACACACTACACTGGCTAGGTGGCGCAATCTACCTTCTAGTATTAAAAATGCGTTTTTTATTTGTGTCTATGGCATTTGAAGGACTTCTTGTTTTATCCATCAGATTAGTCAGTTTGTTTACCCATGATGCATCGGTGTTGACCTGAAATCCCAGGAGAGGTTGTTGTCGTCGGCTTGTCGGTGCTTGTATCGAGTAGATCATTTCTAAAAAGTGAGTGCTCGACTATTTCGTGCATGAAACGACACAGCAGTGTTTGGGAACTATCTCAAATCACGACAACGCTCAATTTTTGTCATGTGTCTTCCTTTTAGCAGCTTTCAACTGTGATGCCGGATAACTCGAAACGACAAATCGAGTCATAGCTCCCGCTTTGTGTCTGCTTCGGAGCATCAGACTGCAAAAATGGCAGCAAGCGACGACAACTTCGACCAGGTAGGGCTCGAAATGTCTAAATGTTCAGCTCCTACCGCTGAAATAATAAAGTTAGAACATTTTCCCTGACCCCGTCTTGCCACATTGCAGTTCGACGACGAACTTCCCGAGGGCTCGGAAGTTCAAGGTGGTGACAGACGCAAGCGCCTATTCTCCAAGGAATGTAAGCATCGATCCTGCGTGTATTGGTCGTCCGTCATAACCTACTAAGGAGTCGCATTGAATTTTATCTGTAATCTAGTGCAGTAAATGACGCTCCTTGGAAGGCTGAAACCATCGTGCCTGTTGCTGAGCGTTTTTAGAAAATATGTTTTTTGCCCTCCGTCCTGTTTAGTGAGATGCATGATGTATGGCTTCGGCGATGACCAGAACCCCTACACAGAGTCTGTGGATCTCCTAGAGGATCTCGTCATCGAATTTATCATCGAAATGGTGAGTGGTAGCATGCTTCATCGTCCTCCGATCAAGCAGCGCGTCTCGGCTTTGATGGGCTTGTGTTGCTGCCCGATGGAGGTCGGCCTGATGGCAACAAATTTACTGGTCAAAGGCAGAACTGATGATGAAATTTTATTTTCACATATAAAATGCTGTGAGACAGAAAAGACAAAAAAAAAAAAGACACAACAGTGCTCTAACTTATATGAATTACTACTTGCACGTGGTTTCGATGTATCCCAGGAACATGTAGTACATTTGATGAAGTATGACATCTTTGACAGAAATCTGTCTTGTTGGGCGTAACTATACATGCCTTGCAAATGACGTCACGCTAGAAAAGGACGGGGCCCTGCACCATACTGGTGGTTGTCCTCACATCGCGCGGATGCGCATATTTAAGCGTAGGATGCCGCTAATGGCCCAGGAGGGGAGGAAGTGGCCGAGTGGGCTAACGCGTCTCAGCTCGGAGCGTGGAGCGAAAGCTTGCGCTGGGAACCTCCTGGGTTCGATCCCCGCCGCCCCCGCCCGTTTCGATCTGGATGAGTTTCGTACCGGCACGCGTTCGTGTGATCACTACTGCGTGATGCACGTTAAAAATCCCAGGTTAGCGGTTGTACCGCACTGGCTAAATTTCTCATCTACAGCTAAGAGACCGATTACCCGTTGAGGCGCATCTCCATCAAGGCTGTATAAACATAAAGAGCAAGCCAATTTTTAATGGCCCAGGCATGCGCTGAAATGCACCATATTTTCAGCAAAGGTACCAAGGTTTTTTATGTGAACTTGGAAAAACGTGCAGACCTTACGATGATGATGTTCAGCCAGTAGGTGCGGAATTATTTTTTGCGTTAGAGTGATTGTGCAATGAGCAGAAAGTTTCGAAACATTGCCGACGAAGTTTTGACGTGAAAGGCTGTCGTGTCGACAAAAAAAGCTTCATTGCGTGCCCCAAAATGTGATGAACAGCTTTGCTTGCTGTAAAATTGTTACGATTTTGCAAAGTACCAGTAAAGAATGCAATACTACCGTCATAACCCTGAGACAAGAAATAAAATGACGGACAGGACGACTTTTCTTGTCCCAGGGGTTAGATTACTATGTTTCCTAACCAGCTCGCCTGCATACTTCCGCTTCTTCCAAAAGTTACCGTGTTGTGGACGGCACAAGCCGATGCCCCAACAGCGGAGTCTCAGCGAGTGTGCACACGGGGGCCGCCGCCGATTGACCGCCGTCTGGCAGGGGCGGATCCAGAGCTCCGTTTTGTGGGGGGGGCGGGAGGAAAGGGGGGGGGGGAAATTTGTAAGTATACTATTCTCCCATTCTTTCGTGTGCACTGGGGGGTCCACCTATGTCAAATTGCCCTCCGAGAAGGGGGGAGGGGTAAACTTTGTTTGGGGGGGGGGGGGGGTGGCCGCCCCCGTCACCCCCCCCCCCATGGATGCGCCACTGCCGTCTGGCTGGGCTTGCGGCGCGATACTCACCCTCACTCGACAGGGAGCTCGGAAGGTGCGCTGAAAGCGTGGAGATGGCAGGATGAAACTAAAGGCAAAGGGCATTTACGTCATGAACGGGCAATGCCGATGCATAAATGTGCGTGAACGTAAACAATGGTAGAAAAGTGTCGTTGCTCGCCACTATGAAATGCGTCCCGCTAACTTAGTAATGCACAGCCGCGTCCCTTCCCTGCCACTCATACTTTGTCTAACTTGACGGCTGCTCTGCAGCGGGGCATGCCTACGAAAAGATAGTTGGGATACGTAGTAATTGCTGCAGCCAAGCGCGCCCCAGTTTACCATGGGTCTCGCTGCAAATGGCCGTCGACTCAACCACCAGCATGATGGTTACCGGTGTTCGACGTCATCATGTGACGTGGGTGCAAGGCATGTATAGTAATAAAAGTTAAATACTCCTACTAAAGTCCTAAAAAAGTGACACAATGTTTAGAAACCTGCTTGGTTTCTTCTTCAGGGGTGACTGAATCACACGAGGCAGCAGCAGCAGCTTTCGTCTTCATCTGCCAAGAAGTACCCTTTTCTGCAGATTAGGATCTTCAGTCATTTTCCTTGTCAGGTGATGGAGGTCCTGGGCATGCACAGATGGCAAGGCACCCAGGAACCTGTATAAAGTTTTTGGAGTGTGCTGGATATGCCACGACTCGCGAAAAGCCTTTTCCGAAAATGAGGCTCGGTGTCAATCCCACTTGCATTCATGAAGTCAATCTGATGTTTGAGGACCTCGTACTGTTCGGTGATGGTGCTGCGAACCTTCACACATTTTTCTTGTGCTGGCGGATTCGTTCCGAAAAGATCTCCATTTCGCCGATGTATGTTCACTGCTCACAAAATCAAGTAGATCATGCGTCATTTCTGGAAATGGCTTTTCACACACGCCAAGAAATTTAAACAGCTCCCTGCGTGTCTTGCCATTTTTGTATGCACAGGACTTACGCCACCTGACAAAGACAGTTAACAATTGACTGTTCTGTAGAAAGGGTTGTCCTTGGCAGACAAAGAAGACAAAAGTGCTGTTGCCCAGTACGATTCAGTTGACCCTAAAGAAGAAACCAAGCAGGTTTCAAAACGTTGGGTTACTTTTTTAGGGCTATGGTTGGAGTGTTTCCTTTATACTACTATTTGATGCCATGCATTTATTATTTAGTGCAAAACCTACTACTCAACTTATACCTTCCTCTGGGCACCTTGCATGTCTACATTAAACAACATTGCCAATATACAGTGAGAAACAGTCCGATTTAGTTTTCCTGCCCTTTTTAGACCCACAAAGCAATGGAGATTGGGCGCACTGGCCGCGTCCAAGTGGAGGACATTGTGTTCCTGGTGCGAAAGGACCCCCGCAAGTATGCTCGAGTCAAGGATCTGCTCACCATGAATGAAGAACTTAAGAAGGCCAGGAAGGCCTTCGATGAAGTCAAGTACGCCTCGGTGTAGCTGACAGCTGTTGCCATTAAAAGCTGGCCTGAAAAGCGATTTTATCATTGTCTTTATTTCTATGTAGAGTAAAATAGAGCCCACAGAGTGTGGAAATGCCCAAATGTAATGACTGTCAATGCTGGATTAAGGAATTTGTGTTCACCAAGAAACATTAAATATTGGGAACCTGGAGGACAGTTTTTGCACCCTGGGGCCTGGGATGTGAAGCTTTTAATGAACTATTTTCGCAACAAAAGCAAGACAAGTTTATGATGTCTCCAAGACTTACTAGTTTTATCAACCTATCATTTATTCGTATTTATTTGAATATTGGAGGGAGGGGAGACGCGGGGAAGGGAAACCGATTTCCAGTTGCCAGACTATACTTTGTGGTAAAACTTAAATTGTCTTTGCAGCCCTGTATCTTTTATTTTTATATATATTTTTTCTATCGGCTTTAAAATCTTATTATTTGATTACCCGCAAGCAACAACCAAGACAACTTTCATCAACAGTCGCAGTTGTCGGATCCAGTTGGATCAGCCATAGGGGATCAGCCGGAGCCAAGGAGGTTGGCCGGAGCGGCATCGTCATCCTCACCACATTCTATCCAATCCAATCCAATGTTACCCGAAGTGAATCCAACGAAGTTTGGTCTAGTTTTGAGGTTCTTGGGGGATGCCTTTCCTGATAAATTAGATTTTTCAATGATAGTGATTGAATTCGGCGGCCATGGCTAGCTTGATTGCAGAAGGTGTAAAAATCAGGTGAAAGTTCCTTGTTTTGTCAGTGTCGGGCGGCCGCTTCGCCTGAAACAGTGTTATTGATGGACACTTTGATTGTGTACCGTAGAGTGAGCTCGGTGCTGAACAGAGACGCCAAGGGATTCGGCAAACAGCATCTCACAGACAAAAACGAGGACACCTGCTGGAATTCAGATCAGGTAAAACTTCCTCGCGCAGTCATACTTTAAGTGTGTATGCTCGCTCGCTCGTTTGGAACGATGGATACGATTACGATTGGTAACGCAAACTGAGCATGCGCGGACGCGTTCTCCGTTACTCCGCACGCGCGTTACATAAGGTACTCGTACCATTCAGTTTGCAGGAAAAAAGAAAAAAGGAGAATATTGCTGAACCATCCGTCGAGCATACGTGACAAAAACACGAAAACTTGGTAAAGTGCTAGTTCTCCGAATGTTGCATCGTCAAATAATATGTGATTAAATAAAATATTGTAAAATTCTTGATAACATGCATAACTAAAATATCTGATTAAAATAGCGCGAAATTGACAAGGACAAAAGAGGCACACGTACGACAGCACAGCGCCAGTCCTGCCGTTTGTCCTTGTCTATTTCGCGCTATTTTAATCATGTCTAATGCGAAGCAACTAGCGCAATCAAAAGTCGTGTTATAAAATATCTGCTCCGTACAATATTTACGGAGTAGATATGCAGAAGTAAGCAAGCTGGTGGAATGCCTTAGCACAACACAATATTGCAGTTTAGTCACAGCGTAGTTATGTTCTCTGCTCTGTGGATCATGGCTTTCACAGTAGATATTTTTGCTTGCGCTTCTTCCGCACAATGGGTACCGGCCATTTCATAGAACGCCATTTCATCAAACGCTGATTCATCAAACTCCGTTTCGTTGAATTTCGCTTTACTGAATATTTTGGAGCATGACACTTTTTAGATATTTTACTATTGCTTTTGAAATAGTTTTGACGCTAGGACTGTAGCACTGTGGTGCTCACCAGAGCGTATATTGGGAGAGTTTGGCCAGTGGGTGTGGCGACGAAGGCGCCGGAGAGGAGAAAAGTAAATGGAAGGGAGGAGAGCGCCGAAGGAGCGAGAGAGAAAGAAGGGAGCAGAGAGGAGACGACCGCCATTTTTTAGCAACGCTGTCGGAGACTGGTCGGAGAAGAGCACTGCTGAGGCTACGCGTCGTCTGCTACGGGCCGACTTCTTTTTCGCCTGAATAAAAGTTTGTGGCCATACGTCGAAAAATCTTCATTTATTAGCTTTTTAATCCACCGAGGAATAACAGAATGTCATTTTCTTGCCAGAGCCAGCGATATAAAAGGCAATAATCGAGATTTAGATGCCGATCCCACGCATTCCGCTGGAAGAATGATCGAAGATGGTGGCCCTCCCCACTCAGGTGGGAGCAGCCGGGAGTTTACGCGCATGCGCTCATGCCTCTCGCTCTACGCCGCATGCTGATTGGCTCACTTGGGAGGAGAGCGTTACGGCGGCGAGATCATAGACTGACCAAACTCTCTTCGTATACGGCTCTGGCGCTCACTACCAAGGCAGCTCACCGAATGTCCCCCCAAGGGAAAGAGGACATGAAAGCCTGGAGCAAGGAGGCATTAGACTTCCTCCGGCAGTGACGGACACCTCCTTTTCGGACTGACACATACAATCCCATATAACCTTTGTGTTAAGTATTAATTACTGTTAATGCTCTTGTTGCTGTTGTGTTAAGTTCCTATAATACTGCGGCACCACAGGCCTCGGGTACGGACCAACGGCCTTTCTGTGATGCTACGACCCTCCAGGGTCAAATAAAGACAATGTACTGCCCCGGTCAATGTTTTTTTTTGTTTGTTTTTTTCATCAAAATGTTGGTTTTGATGTTGCTCTCGAATCACCAGAAATAGAATTACTACCCTGGTCAATTTTTTACACCTAAATGTTGGTTACTGAATCATACAGGGTAGCTTTCATATAAAAATTTGAGCAGGTATGCGACTTATTATTTTCTGGCGTGGTGCACTTTTTTCCTACTTCATCCCCTATTTGGGAATGGATGTGTTAATTCCTACGTGTGAAAGGCACTTTATGAAAAGGGAAACAGCTATTCTTCGTGGCACCTGTTTTATTTTGTATTAGTCCATTTACTTGTGTTTTCGTTCTATCCCAGGAGAATAGCTTTGAGCATAGTTGGAAATCGAAGACTGGGGATACAGACAAGGGACAAACACAGAATGACAGAGACAAAGTCTTGTCCGTATCCCCAGTCCGTTGTCCGTATCTCTTCTCCGTATCCCCATTCTCGGTTTTACAAGTATGCTCAATTTACACCAGCTAGCCTGCATCCTCACCATTGCTTCAATACAGGGAATAGCTTTCTTTTTTAGAACATATACTCTGTGTCAGAAATCCAGCAGGTCCACGGTTCTGTCGGTTTCAATGAATTAACAAAGAGGGGAGTCAACTCTTTTTTTCCTGTATCATGCAACATAGCGACAGGTCATTGCTTCAAGGATGGCTTTGTTTTGAAGCAGAATATGCCTTTTCAAGGACAAAGATTTGCCCTTGAACAAACATGCATTCATCACTGCACCCGATGATCACAGGTTTTAAGAAAATATTAATATTCCCATTTCTTATTGGTCCCATTAACCCTTTGACGGTCGTCGTCGTACATGTATGGCAGCGAATACATTTGAAAGAACCTGCCTAAATGCGAAATTGCACGTGCCGCAGGAGGTGTTGCTATTTCTTATGTCTTTAATAAACTATAAGTGTTAAATTCGCATGGTGTTTTGCTTCGCTGGGCTATAATAGTTTTCACATTAGATGCTTCGTGCCTGTGATGCTCACTTTGCATACTGGCCGCTCTGGCGATAGTGCCGATGTGACCACTGGCTCTTCCTGTTCAAACTTCCCATGCTTTTTGGAAATAAATTCAGAGGATGAGAGCTCATCATCAGACGGACCAGCTCTGTAAGTACCTCTGGTCAGGAATCTGGAGCCGCTGGAGGCGGACGCGCCAAAATGAAACTGAATGAAGAAAATTGTATTATTATTTTATTGTTATATATTTATACTGTTAACCCTTTTGGGCTGTTACATGAGTGTAAATGTACATGTGAAAATAAAAAAACAAGACTTCCTAACTCGCCACAAACTCAAACAAAGACAAACTGCAGTGAAAGCAGACGAGTGTAAAACGAAACAAGTGCAGTAAATACACAAAAAAAGATTCATGCTTTATAAGGATGACATACCGAACTTGAACCGCAAGTATAAAATTTCCTCTACAGAACAGTTGCCAATACACATAAATAATAAATCAACAAGGCATGAAAGTTGGGCTAGTTGGTGCATTATGAAAACTGGAAAACAGCACAAAATACACGAAAGACAAGAACGAGAAGTGAACAAACAGTGTTGTGTTCTTCTCCTTCTTGTATTTTGTGCTGTTTTCAAGTTTTCATAATAACTCATCATGACAGGGATAGTTAACTTCCAATGTACAGTTGGCTGAAAAACTTTTCAAACACGTCCATTTCATCATTTCATTTCATTTATTGTTCCCTTAAAGCGCCCATAGGGCTTTACATAAGGGGGGTGGCTTTGACAACAAACAAGAACAAAGAAAGGAAAAACACAGGGTTAAAGGTTGCTAAATATCGAGAAAAGTAGCAAGTGCAGCTCTGAATCCAGATGAGTCTTGAATTGTAACAATATGTTCTGGCAGAGAGTTCCATTCTTTTAATAGGTTTGTCCTTGGTGTTACCAAATGAACTTTCTGAGAATGGTCTGTACAAGGAGAAATGTGATGAGCCGCAGGACAGTACAATTCTCTCTCTAAAGGGGCTTGATATTACAAAGCGTGTAATGAAACTAGTCTGGTCAGCTTCGTTCTTTCCACGAGCAGTGGAAGGCCGAGTCTTTTTTTTAGTGTAGTAATGCTAGTGTGTGTGTAGTTTTTAAAATGAACCGGGGAGTTGCTTTGTTTTGGATCGACTCTAATTTCTGTATTAGGTAAGCCTGGTGGGGGTTCCATGTTGTAGATGCATACTCGAGCTGCGGGCGAACAAGGGCAGTGTAAGCTACGAGTTCTGTCTCCCGGTTAGCCATGTGTAGTGTTCGTCTCAAAAAACCGAGGCTTTGGTTTGCCTTGAGAATGACATGATTAGTATGAGCTTCCCATGATAAGTTTGATGTGAAATGAACCCCAAGATATTTGTACGTGTGCACATGTTCAATGGGCGTATTAAAAAGAGAGTAGCTAAATACTGTGGCACTTCGCTTCGTGTCGAAGTTTAAGAATTTTGTTTCTTAGATGTTGATTTGCATTTGCCACTTTTTACACCATGTTTCTGGGTAATCAAGTCATTCTGAAGTTGAATGCAATCACTAATGCAAGATATCTTCCTATACACCACACAATCATCAACGTACAAACGGATGGTTGAAAGAATACTATCGGGTAAATCATCCACATACAAAAGAAAGAGCAGTGGACCCAGCACGGTCCCCTGCGGCACTCCCGATTTTACTTTCCGATGCGATGAAGATCTGTAATCATAACAGACACTTTGCGAGCGATTGAAAAGAAAATTCGATATCCAATCTATCACGAATGGCTCCACTTGGAAAGCACGTAATTTTAGAACTAGTCGATGATGCGGCACCTTGTCGAATGCTTTTTTGAAGTCAATAAAAATTGCATGCGTCTCAGTTTTAAAGTGCAGGTTACTGTGTATATCAGTTACAAATTCAAAAAGTTGGGTTTCGCAAGAGTGAGACCGACGGAAGCCGTGCTGGTTTACAAAAAAAAGGTTGTTTGCTGACAGGTGATCCATGATATTTGAAAGTAAAACATGTTCCATTAATTTACTCAGAACACTCGTGAGAGAGATGGGTCGATAGTTTGTGAATTCATTCTTTTGCCCATTTTTAAAGACAGGAATGACCTTTGCCAGTTTCCAATCAGCAGGTATTTGGCCACTAGTTAGGGATTACTAAAGGATAGATCAGAGGAGAGTGGAAGATTCACATTTGCTAAGCTTAAGTAGCTTCGTCGTGATATTGTCGGGACCGGGGGCAGAGTTTGTTAGGAGATGTTCTATTAGTTTCTGAATTCCACTCACAGACATAGTGATTGGGCACATTTGTGTGGCTATGTCGTAATTAGGCGAATGCTCTGGCGAACGTCCATATTGACAGTGTTTATTATTTCTTAAGGAAGAGAGTTCCAATCTAATATTGTTCTTGGGAATAATGAATACTTAAAAGTATTATTGTTTGCTTTTACTAATATACGTTGGCTTGAATGGTTGCTTCTTAGGGACCTGCATAACCGGGGTGTTATTTAGCAGGTTAAATATGTCATTCTTGAGCAAAAATCTACAATATTTTGCCTTCAGTATTTTCTGAACAGCTTGCAAGCACTGTACATGCTCCCTCTAGATAGTTAAAAGAAATCTTGTGCATTGACCCTTTCTTTATACAACTCATTAGGAAACAAAACCCGCCGACTGGGAAACATCTTTTTGGGAAAAAGCTTGATTGTCAAAGGGTTAACAACAAAAGTCATTATTGACTAGAGACAAAAAATAGAAATAGGAGAGAAAAAAAAGTTTCTATTACTATTAATGCCCACTTAAGTGGAGAAAGAAAGTTTATAAATTATAATGAATATATTATAACACTGCTATCCTCCCAATGCTAAAAGAAAACTATTTCTTAGATGTTGAATTCCTGCTGCTCAAATAGGCAGTGTTTGACGAAATGGCTTCAGTGAAACGGCGTTCAATGAATTGTCCGGATCCACGCACAAACTAATATGGTCAAGCTTTATGGTTGTTCATGTCTGACAAAATATTGATAATTTAAGCATCCCTAATAAAACCGCATATTGCTGTTTCATTTAAATCATGTAAATGTCCACCATTTTGATAGACCTTGAGTTTGTAAAAGTTTTGAATATGGCCTAGTGGGTGCATAGTTCACCTTTTATCTTGCCTTGGGTGTTGTTCAGGAAGCTCACAGCTCGCACCGCTGTGGAGCAGACGTTAGAATGCATGGGGGTGTTTTCTCGCATAGGGTTCACCCCAATGGGTGCACATGGAATTCCCCTCACCGGTGCTGCCTTCCGAGCTTCAGCTTCAGTTCCAGGGAGGCTTTGCGGGCAAAGAGGTGCACCTCGAAGTCAAAACTCCTGGGCAGCCAGATGCCACCGCTAGTGCTGGGCACTTTTATCCAGAGGACAGCAATGTCCTTCAAATATCCTTTTGACTGTGTTCTGGTTGTGTTGATTTGTTGTGGTATCAATGCAGATCAATCTGGCTAAACCATATCTTCCCTAATTAGATCACCAGCTGCAGTCATCCTTACCGAATCTGGTTTTGAAAAGAAAAGTAAGGATTTCGGAAGTTTGAAATACATACTTCAAGTGAAATTAGCGTTATTAAAGCACATACCAAGTAACATGATGTATCTTATTGAACAGAACATTGATAATTACCTGCGAAGAGCCCTATCTTAGTATGTGATATTGCTTATCAAGTAAAAAAAAACTATATTAATGTTAGGGCATCAGCCCTATCTCCAGAACTTTATTATACTAGTTTTTTATAAGGCAGATCTGCAGCAATGGATACAGCCTTGACAAGGACAAAAAGGTTTCCACTCAAGATGGATGTCCCAATCTCCAACCTTCGTGTCGTGTTTCGATCCAGCACGGACATGTTTGGGCGTATTGTGCTCTACAAACTAGACGTGATTGGCTAGAGGGTTGTGTTGTGTCCGTCTGGTTGGTTTACGAGACAGGAAACGGCCTTGTTGCCCGTGTGGATGGGCTTTTCTTGTGCCCCTGGACAGATTCACTAATGGCTTATGAGCCTTCTTTTGTTTTTGCAAAGCTGGAATAAAACGACGACAGTTGGCATTCGGTCTTTCAGCCTTCATTTCTTGTTGTCATTTTTTTTTTTTTCAAATTAAATAGTAATAGCCGAGTTGGGAGAGCAATAGAAAAATGTATTTTTGCTCAAGAGAGTTTCCACTCTACAGAAAAGCAAGTGGCCTATGCTATAAAGGACCGCGTCGCAGTGTCTAATAATGATGCAATGACATTCTACTGATGAAAAAAGAAAGTGATGCCTAAAATGTACCTTATAGACAAGGGGAAGGGGATGACATTGTGGGCAATGACAGCCTAGTGTTCATGAGCGGGTAGCTGCCCGGGCCGGTGGCTACGCAGTGTGGAGTGTCTCGGAGGCTTCGTCGAGTATTGGGGCGCAAAACTTCGATGCGCCGAGAATCCCGTCCCAGATGGCCACCCGTTCCCTTTCCGTGAGGCGACTCAAAACAACCTTGGTGATACGGCCATCTCCAGAGCACGGCGTGACATTCATCAAATCCTCCCGGCCTACGGATAGTTTAAATTAGGAAAAACTTGTAACGAGACCTTTTGCAAGCACATTGCGAACAGAATCTTTTTGATAGACTGTTTCGAAAACTCGAAAGTGGTCCCGACCGGAGCAAGATTGCACTATGGGAGGAAAGTGGCTGTGTGTCCCGCACAACTTCTAATCCTTCTGCAAGTCCCCGGTGTTAAAAGAATTCCAAGCAACGGGCTGGACAAGGGTTGGGACTTAAGGATTGCCTAGTCCCGTTCTGTTTCATACTTAGCGTACAACGCTGTCAAAGTTGCTGGTGCGGGCGTGGGGTTTGTTCTCGCAGATCATTCGCACGCATTGTCGCACAAATGAAACCGTAGATGAAGCCTCGTGCCAGTAACTTTGACAGCTTTGTGTGCCAAGTACTAAACGGAGTATAGAGTCTGGACTCTGTTATTCAACATGCAACTAGCATCTGCAAGCTTGGTGAGTGACTTCATGACAGAAAATATGTCACTCTTTTTTTACTAGTAGCTACTATCTGGGAGCCTACGGTTGTATTGACGGGCAATGAATACAAACCGGATGGGTACTATGCCGCCAGTGGCACTCTTTACTGGGGCCCCCATTGAAACAAGAAAGAAAAGGACACTATCTTTTTAATTCCCTTTCTCTTTTTTTTTTGTTAGCCAAGTCCTGTCTTTTTCTGTTGGTATCCTCTTTTTTTTTTGTTTAAAAGAGTGGAAGTTTGACACTTTTCACTTGTACAAAAACAGCTTCTGTGTTTGTTGTTCCTTTGGATAATGATGAAGAAGAAGAAGACACATTTGGTTTGGTCAAGAACATTAGCAGCAAGCTGATCCCTGGCTAACCCCCACAGCAAAGTGTTGAAGGGTTGCACGAGGAGGAGATTGACTCCTGTCACAGCAGTGTGACTTCTGGCTAGTCCTTTTTGGGTGAGCTCCATTCCTTGTGGCAACCATAGCATGGCATGTCTTCGAGTGTGAGGGATGCAAGTGTCATCATACTGCACAGTTGTCATTAACTAGACCATATAAAATTGCTTCATATTCGTTCAGGAAGGCAGAGGAAAAATTAGGCACCCTCAAGTAAGAGGGCCATCTCCACTGGATGAACTATAGACCCGTTTAAAAATATGCTCTCTGTTGTAAACTCTGAAAACGTGTACGCAAAACCCCCCCCCCCCCCCCCCCCCCCCCCCCCCCCGTGAAGCATCGATGTTAGAACCTTAGAAATGATACTAATGCTGCTTCATATGACACAGTGTCAATTCCACCATTGTGCTGTTCGTTCAGACCTCTTAACAGTTGGCACGTAAATTCGAAAAGGGTCTATTTTCCCTCAGTTGAAAGGATCTTTTCAGCTACCTTATATCAACACAATCACTTTATAGTTGGACGACATTCACAAACTGTTTGGCCCCTGGCTAGTTCTTACGTTTTTCTTCAGCTTTGAACTCTCGACCAAAAATAATAACCCAAGAGCTCCCAACTTTGCTATGTGACTTGTTACCACTTGAGCGCAGTAAAGGCCTTACTTTTGCAGGTGTAAAGGGCAGTCGCAGCAGAACTAGTCCTTGTCATTTGTGTGCCGTTTTAGTATTTTATGGTCATGAACTAACTCGTCTGTACTGCCACTTTAGTTCAGCACACACACTGCATCCAATACTACCACTTTGTTGTAATCAGGAGCTCGCAGTTGCTTACAAGAGACTGCTCTGGCTCTATCTGTCGAACACTTGCGATTTGCATATATTCTTTCATCATTTGCATCTTAGTATTCCACTATGGGCTTGAAAAGCTTTTGACAGTGTTAAACTAATCATTTCTCTACTATGCACATTTGGTCTCGCAAATGCTGTGAAACCTTCACTTCAGTTAAATGCAGGTGCTATATAGATGGAGCCAGCATGACAGCGTGTTGTCTCGTAAGGGAGCGCAAGGTCAGGCAATACGCTTGGTCGCGTCCAAACGCAAGTGTGCAAACCAGCCAGCACAAACGGGCTTAAAAATAGCACATTTTGTTTCTCTTTTTTCCCAAATTTTTGCGCCAGTTTCGGGTTTGAGTATTCTTTTTGACGCGTCTCTCCCGGTTCGCCTTAATGGCATACCTTTTTCTCCAAACTTCTGTGCCTGTTTTAGACGGGGCAGAAATGAAGCAAATGCAAGAAACAAAAATGATGACAATGGTTTCTCAGTTTAACTACAATTATATCGCTTTCAGTGCTCCTTCTGATGAACTTTTTTGTGACAGTTTTTAGTCGGAAGCTGTCCCAATCTTGTGTCTTGCAACCAATCTTGTTCGGGTCAGGTTCTTGCGTAAGCATCGATCACATCTGCAAATAACGAAAGAAAGGTTGTGTCTAATTGCACTTGCACTGCCGCGTCAACACCCCAACCCAGGCCCAAGAAAGCGCAAGGAAATGAATCGCCCACGAGCGGCGGATGAGCCAACCACCTTCTACCCAGCCGTGGAGTATGGTCTATACCGGGTGGGTCCTTCCCTTCACCGGTTCATGACAATCCTGGAATGGCAGACGGGGCAGAAACGCATGACCCTGTTTATATGTAAGCACTTATACTCATTGGAAAATATTTTTCCTACGAAATTCGAAGAGGGGTTTTCGACATAAAAGGCAGACACTTCTCATTTGTGTGGCCCGGCTGTATTTTGATGACTTGAGTGCATTGTATCGCTCACATCTTAGATTACCATAATACCCCCAAACGATAACCCACCCCTATTTTTTGTTTTGATTTGCTATTTTCTTTGAAACACCGAAGGATAGCCCACTCCTAGTAATTGTAGTGTTCGAATCAATAATTGCCTCGGTGTAAACGCAGTTAGTTAGCTATGGCTGGGCATAAGCAAACATTGCCGACTGTGAGGTATCACCTTTGCTTGATTGTCCCCTCGCCGTGATACCAAGTTTGGCCGGCAAATATAATCTAAAAATAGCGTTTTCTTAACTTTCCTTGGTTGTACACCGTAAGTTAGCCCACTCATTATTTTCACCGGATTTGCTTTCAATTTTAGGTGGGCTGTCATTCGGGATGTTACAATAGTGCTAAAGAGTGAACCGTACAAGATGCTCACTTTTGAGTATAGCCGAGTGAGCATGTTATAATATCTTGGTAAAAGGATTTGGGGCACAGTCCTGCTGTCGAGCCAGTTGAAAACTGCCTCAATAGCAGAGCTCTTTCACGTCTGCGTCCAACTTCCTCACGGCTAAGGTAAATGGTGACTGCCCGCTTCACACTCTGGTGAATAAGTCACATTTGACCTTTAGTCGGTGGGTGCGTTTTTTCCATGCCTCTCTGGGTTATCTCACTCCATTTGGTCTTTTGGGTGTCCCTCTTGATTTCAGTTTCTCTGGGCCTGCTGTGTCTCTTCATGTTGCTGAGTAAGAATGCTCCTTTTGTCTGCAGCCTCACCTTCTTCGTGATAGCAGCACACATTTCGTGAGTAACCGTCGAGCCAAGGAGAGCACCGCATTTGGGAGCCTAGGGCCCTGCATCCTTTTTTCTACCGCGAGCAGCACACTGTCAGAACAAGTTAAGCTTTGGAAATGCAGTCTTTTCCCTTGCCTGTATAGGGGGTGTGTGGGCTTACCATTATTAATATGTGGGTGTGCAGAACACTGCTAGGGATGAAAACAGAGACTTACATGTAAACTTGAAAAAGATAGAGGTACAGGTGACGTTTCTCTAAAAAACTTAATAGTTTCTTCAGGGCCCTGAAGAAAGTTGCAAAACATTGGCTGCCACTCTGAGGCTAACAGGAGAAATTTTTACAGTGGAGCTGTTAAGGGCTAGTTTCCCCAGGACCGTGTTCTCCGCAAAGAAATGTTGACACAAAACTCTGGACAGCTACCGCCATCTATGAGGGATGGCGGCAACCAGACAATCGGCTTGCCGGCCTTGCTCATAGATGGCAACAACCTTTCCTGCCTCTCCACTGTGGTTTTCACCAGAGTGGAAAGGCTGAATTTCTCTAGGTGTTGTCCTAGATGCCGTCCTTAAGGTCGTCCTTGAGGTTGTCCTTGAGGTCATTCTTGAGCTTGTCGGAGAGGTTGTCCTCGAGGTCGTCCTAGAAGTTGTCCTTAAGGTTGTCCTTGATGTTGTCCGAGAGGTTGTCCTCGAGGTCGTCCTAGAAATCATTCTTGAGGTCGTCCTAGACGTCGTCCCAGAAGTTGCCCTTGAGGCCGTCCTAGACGTCTTCAAAATCGTCCTAGAAGTCGTCCTCGAGGTCGCCTTAGACGTCGTCCCTGAGGTCATCTTAGACGTCGTCCTTGAGGTTGTCTAGATGTTGTTCCTGAGGTCGTCCTCTAGGCGTCGTCCTCTAGGTCGTCTTAGAAGTCGTCCTTGAGGTTGTCCTTGAGATCGTCCTTGAGGTCATCCTAGACGTCGTCCTTAGGCGTCGCCCTTGGGGTCATCCAAGAAGTCGTCCTTGAGGTCGTCTGACCATAGCACAGCTTTGCTGGTCTTCCTTCTTCACAAGAGAGGAAAGGCTGAAATTTTTTTTAGGGTTCTTCCTACAGGCTTTGATTACACTGCACAAACTTTAATTCTTTTATCAGTACCCTGTCAGAGATACAGGAGCTGATTGGAGGTAGCATGCCATGTCAAAGTAGTAACATGGAGTAGGTGTCCAGTTACCCGACCCGCAACTCAAGCTCACATGATTTGTTTTGATGAAGGACCTAAAGAAGTATTGACCCTGCAGTTTAATCAAATACAACTACTATACTGTTTCTTGCTGACTGGAGAGGCTGGCTTTTCTTTTTGCTCATTGAGGCCTGTCAAGAACTAGGAGCAATCGAGAGGTTTTATGGAGGAGAGAAGTGTTCTTGTAGTTTCCCGAGTGGTCGAGCCAAAGATGAAGTACGAGCCCTCATTGGCGTTTTCCCACAGATTCCGCAACATTGAAGTGACCACAAAGGATGAAGATGCCAGGTCTATAGTTTTCTGGCTTATCTTTGGACTGTTCAACCTGTTCGACTACTATGCTGATTTGATCCGGGCACACATTCCTTTTTTTTGGCTGTTCAAGGTAAGCATATCGGTCAGCAAGTAAATTATACTGGCGTCTCCCAGTATGTGCCCGCAAGGGTACGCCCTGTCCTGGCTATATCAGCTTCGTAAATTTGGGGAGTGTTACCTAAGTGGGTTGGAACCCGTTCGAAGCGCTGTTAATCTATGCTAAAGAATCCTACAGAGTATAAACATGTCTCGCTAAGGTGCCAACAAAGTCAGTTGATTTTGTTTTGAAGGTGTTCTAACAGAAGCATGTTTTTTGGCACTAGACTGATTTGACGATGGTAGCGTCTCTTGACTGTAACGTCGGATCACCGAGTTTGTGTGAAAAGTGTGCAGTATGGTTAGACGGGCATGATAGTGTGACAAACTCCAGGATGATGTGCTGAAGTTTCTGTCTAATTGTCATCTGCATGCCCACCAGTATTGTCACCAAGAAATGTGACATCTTTGATGTAGTCTTCTCCCACAACCTCATGCACGTTTTAAAGGGATACTGAACCAAAATTTGGATTTTGCAAACCAACGCCGCTGAATCGTTGAACGGGATACTATGAACTCTAGAACATCACTGATACATTGATATCCCAAACAGATGGCTGTATTTTTGGAAAGGAAGGGCGCGACCAAGCAAGGAATGTGACGTTACGATTCTCTTCGAGCAGTTGAGAATGCGGGGAAGCGACCCTTGCTTCTGTCTTCGCTTTGGTTCACCTGCTCCTGGGGACGAAGCGAAGAGGAGAGAGAATGAGAATCGCTACGTCACACATCTCGTCAGCTTCGTAGGCCATGTTCACTCGCGCACTTCTTTTCCAAAACTAGGGTGATCTGTTAGACGTATCGCTGTATGAGTGATGTTTTTGGGTTTTGCAGCGTCCCACCTATCACTCCAGCCTTGTTTTGCGAGCTTCAAATTTCGGTGCAGCATCCCTTTAAGCGGGGCTACTAAAAGACAGAGTCATAAGGGCCAATGCTGGAACTTTTAGAAGTAAACAACTGGCTGAATGACAATATGCATCCAAAGTAGCAGATGGTACTATCTCAGACCATGACGGGGTAATTTTTTAGTTCTCGTTACACATTCAAACCTCACGACCATCGGCGAAGACTGTGTTGCGAGGTTTTACAAAAGTTGACGACGGCAGTGTCTTAGGCACTTGGATTCACATTATACAGACTTCGAGCAGTTCCTTTTATTAGCCCTTTCATGGTCGCTGACGTACCTGTACGTCAGCGACCATAGGGGACGCTCCCGCGCTGACGTACCTGTATATCAGTGCGGGAGCGTCCCCTATGGTTGCTGACGTACATGTACGTCCACGACTACTCATTAAAAAATTCCCGCCTCTGCTTGAATGGGCGCGTTCGCGGGGACGTGCTGCCATCTGGTAGGTTTGTGGGGAGCTACAACCACATAGCTCCGGGTGTGTTTGTTTTAGCGCGGCTTTTTGAAATTGCGAAACTGGATGCTCTGTGCTAGTGATATTTTCGAGATGGCCGCGCGTGCCGGCTGCTCCGGAGGTAGCATAGCCGGGATTGGAGCGATGGCTCTTCGGGTTGAGACTTTGAACCCTTCTCAAACTGCAAGTCGGATGACAGCTCGACATCCGATGAACAACTGCAAATCAGCTCGAAGTCAGAGTCTGGAGTCTGGCACACGGCCGCATCGTCTGCTAGGCCTTGTCAGAAAGCGGGCGCGTCAAAGTTTTAGTCCTTTTTGTTTTGTTCAGCCTCCAGCGAGCGTGCCGCAGATGTTTTGAAGTGTGTACTATTTATTTTAAGTCTTAAATTTTTTTATGCGACAATAAACTACCTAGTGTATTTTCTTTGTTATCGCAACGAGTAAAAAGAACCGACCACGGGGGCGCGTTTTTGGACTTTAAATGCGACCACGAAAGGGTTAGAGACCACAGCAGTGGAGCAAGCCTAGACTGTTTGTAAAAGGCTAACACAGACTGCAATAGGACACTTTGCTCCTGTTTGAGTAAACAAAAGTTGCTAGACAAAACCCCCGTGGATCGTTTCGAGCATTGCCCTGCTAAAACACCATATAGTTGTTTTCTTCACCCTTTTATGTGATGTTTTAGCAGGCTAGTGACTCATCGATTTTGCCTAGGAATTCTTGATCTGTTCCCTTTGTCTTAATGTGTAAAATTCTGGCAGGTGCTGTTCCTTACCTGGTGCCTACTGCCAACTCCATCCAATGGAGTCACAGTCATCTACTTCCACTTGCTCCAGCCACTTTTTCTTGGTACAGATGTCAAGAGCCAGGACGGCAGGTAGAGACCATATCGAAGCTCTTTGATTTTCTCTGGGCTCCTCCGAAACCCGCAGCTTCTCTGACTTTGCTTACCCCCATTGTTTCCTTATTTCAAATGTAGCAGTTGAGTCTTTTTGACTCTTGTGATCCTGCTTAGTAGGAACAGTCCTTGTGATTTCACCAGTATCTTTGCTATTATCAGTACTTGAAATGTTTGTACTAGCATTCAAAGTTACCACAGCTTTTCTGTATTCATACTTCTGAAAAATGCAAGCCTTCTCTTATACATTAAAGAGAATCTCATAAAGTAAACCATTTGCTGCATAAGCATAAGCACTCCAACATTACAGTAAATATACCGTAGAATACCGTGCATTCGCCCATTCCGCATTAAGCACCCACCCCCAAAATTTTAAACATCTGAAAAAATATGCACAGTACATAGTATATATGTAAAATTGACAACCTCACATGCGCCTATCCCCTATTTTTTCGTGATAATCTTCAAATTTTGAGCGGGTGCTTGCTCTGTATTTCGCGGTAACTGTGGTAGGTTCTACTAATACTGATATAAACGCACGCCAGTAGGATACTTGTCCATACTGAAATGGAATGGGACTGAACCCAGGATCAAGTTTAGAACTCAAGGGTCCTGGGGTCTAAACTGCCCATTTCGATCCAGATGGGCATTGTACCTGCGTGCTGTCATGTATCAGTACTGCATGACGCATGTTGAAGGCCCCCATGTAAAGGCCTGTCCAAACAGCAGTGATGTGATTGCTGCGCCAAACTGCGCCGAGGGGTTAACCCTCCTACATCCTGCTACATTTTGCCAAAATGTGGGTAATCTGCGCCAAGCCTGCGCCAAAGGACAAGTTTTGGTCGCCTTTCAAAACCGAAACTAAACAGGGTACCGTAATGAGCACACGTGAGCGAGGTGGCGCAAGCGGCCGCCCGACACAAAGTACCTACATCAATCGTTCATCCGGTCTTGCATGGTTTTTCCCGCCATCTCTCGTTTCGCGCCCTCGTCGTCTTGCGTATTTTTAAACTTTTTCAACTTTAAATGCGGACATGTGCGGACGCTTGGACGCTAGCTTGCTGGGTACCGGCCATGCCGTCATGTTGTGAAACGAAACCCCCTTTTGCGCGGCGGGAGCTGAAGCATTCGCTCCTGAAAGCAACGACCGTGGGAAAGCTATATTTGGTCCCTGCCTGCCAGTCACCGTGGTCGGGCGGCGTCGGGTGTTGCCGTCCCCACGTCGCCGCAGATATGGCGCTTTCGAAATTGAAACAAAGGGATCGCCCTAGTGTTCATCAACATTCCTGTTCTTTTTTAATAGGCTACTACAAAAATCTCCCTGGCTCAAAGACTGCTGTGTCAAAGTACTGATTACCTAAGTTTCTCTCGGTAGGCTTTCTTTCGAGGGGGACCCCGGTACCTGAAAAATCTGCCGCGAAAGAGATTTGGTGAAGAGAAGTGAGCTAAGCAAAGAAGGCAATTTCTGCGCGCTGAACCCGCACAGCGCGTTTGTTTGACTCAAGTTCAGTCGGTGCACAAAGCGATCCGAGAACTTTTTTACCCTGACTCGTGATGTCTTGCATCGATGTGCTCAGGTTCTTTTTTTTTTTGTGAGTGTTTAGCTTGTACCTCGCCAGCCGGTCTGGCAAGCGCTTGCGGCTAGACTGTTTTTTGTTGTATGCTGGACAGTTACATTTTGTGTACAATTTTGGGAACCAGTTGGTGACGGAGCGGAGTGGCATGGTTTCGATTGAACAGCCATTTCCGCTCGCGCTACAATTTCGCATTGCACTGCAGTGGTCATGTGTATCAACAGTTAGAAACTGCTTTCATTTATTATATAACTAGTCAATCTAATATTTAATACTAAGATGGTCATTTTCAATTAAATTTTAATTTGTGCAGTTTGGTTCTTATTTACCCATAGCAGGTACATATATATGTATCTCCAGATGCCCGTCGTAGGTTTGTCACGTAAAACCCCTACATTTTTATGTATGTATCATTTAACTGAAGCATTGCAAAATGTGTCATATCATTGGCATTTCAGTTACATGTTGAAAGACTTCCAGGTGGTCTAACTTGACTATAATTTGTTTATTGCGATGAGCTAAGTGTCCTTCGTTCATCCAGCACTTGAAACAAATATTTTTATTTTGCTAAGAATATCTGCTCCAAAAGCCACCTTTGCTGCTACGAAACACTGTTTTAGCTGCTTCAAAAGCCACTTTTACTGCTCCAAAACACTGTTTCGGCTGCTCCAAAGTCCACTTTTGCTGCTCCCAAACACTGTTTTTGCTGCTCCGAAAGGTGCTCCAAAATGGCTTAGGCCAATCACATCACTGAAACAGGAATCGTGAGGCAACATGACTCCAGCAAAAATCGTAGAAGTTGAAGCGTCCGGCAGTTCGATGTCTGTTTGAACACCACCGAGCCAAAATCACAACTTTCCTCCCCGCTTCCTCCGTTTTTCGGTGACCTCGGCGCTCGTCAGACTTGACGTCACACGCCACCTGCCGATGCTGTCCATCTGTTCTGCCGGGCCCCTTTATCCTTGGACGTGTTATCAAATTTGCTCGATCTTACTCCAGGATAAGAGTTTTGTTCCTTTGCATTTGAAAACCTACCCGTGTCCAGCATCGCTCTATTTGTGTTATCACGTGACACGACCTGCCGGAGTAGCTTGGATCTATTTGGGCAAGATTTTGAACACAGCCCTTCCCTTTCCCATTTTCGTGACCTGAAAAGCAACAGAGGCCTTGAGCAATTGACTGACAGCCAACAAAGCTTGTGAGTGGCTGTTTGGACCCACGTGATGACCATGCTCAAGGCCCCCAGGCAGGACACGGGCGAAATTTGACAGAGGGTGCTTTCCCCTTGGCAAAATAAACCGGACGGAAGCGGATCAAAGTATGACTTATGTCGGAGTCGTGCCGCCTCACGATTCCTTTTTCGTCAGGTCTTTAGCAGTAATGCTGCACCGACTAAATTTCTTGTCTACCAGTGTCGCCATACTGTGGCATACCGTATTGACCTAACACTATCTAAACTTGTGCACTAACGTCAAACTTTATTTTTACTTTTAATTAGGTACTGATATACAGGGTGTTTCGCATAAGGTGGACAAATTCGATATTGCAAAACTATGCATCGCACCAAAAAAAGGTTTGTGCTGTTTTGGTCCTAGGCCAGGGGCCTATTTAAGAAAATTATTAAAGTTTGTGATAATTAAATTGTAAACTATTTTTGCGTAATTAATTTGTTTTTTAAATATTGGTTTCAATGGTTTCATGTGCATGGTTTCAATTAGAATCTTGCTGAGCATCATCAAAAAACACAAAATAAAAAATTTGGAGTGTGATAGAAGGCACATGCTACATTTTACAGCTTTCTGAAAAAAGTGAAAGCCGTTTACAACTTCCTGTAACGCCGAATTGGAGCGCAGCTCTTGAGGAGGAGGAGTGGAGGGTATATTCCTCCTCCTCCCTCGTGATCATGCCTGCTAGTCCTCCTCCCCTCCTGCTCCCCCTCCCTCTCCTTTACCACCTCCTCGTCCTTCAAGCTCCTCCCCTCCCCTCGCCTCCGCCTCCTCGTCTCTCCTCCCCCCCTCCTCCACCTTCGTACTGCTTTCCTCCTTGCCGCTCAAGCCGGACAATGAGGGGAGGAGGAGGAGAAGGAGGGGGAGGAGGAGGAGGGGGAGGAGGAAGAGGGGGGGAGGAGGAGGGGGAGGAGGAGGAGGGGAGGAGGAGGGGGAGAAGGAGAGGGAGGAGGAGGAGGGAGGGGCGCGGTTACGCCGACGCCGACGGCGACGGCGACGCCAACGGCGACGCCGCTCAGGCTGGAAACGGGCCCCTAAGAGCTGCGCTCTAAAACAGCACAACTTTGACAGGTTTTGAAGTTTAGGTTTGCAATCGGGGCGCTTCTCGGCATCGACGGTACCGCGCCCCATGGAGAAATAGTGCAACCAACATCTACTTTGCTCTCTTCGAGCAGCCCAGCAGATGTTGGTTCGACTATTTCTCCACGGGGTGCGGTGCCATCGGTGCCGAGAAGCGCTCCGATTGCAAACCAAAACTTAAAAACCCGTCGAAGTTGTGCTGTTTTTTAGAAAGCTGTAAAATGCAGCGCGTGCCTTCTATCGCACTCCAATTTTTTCATTTAGTGTTTTTCGATGATGCTCAGCAAGTTTCCAAATGAAACCATGCCCTTAAACTGAATATTTAAAAAATTAATGGTGTCAAGAATAATGAACAACTTAACTATCCTGAACTTTAATAATCTTCCTAAATAGGCCCCTGTTTCAGGACCAAAATGACACAAGCATTTTTTTGGCACGATGCATAGTTTTCGCAATAGTCTAACCCGTTCATATCGAACTCGCAAAAAAAACTTCTACTAGTTCGATATAGCGGGTAATTCAATATAAAAGTTTTAATGAATTTGACTCTAAAAAATCCACTTTCTGCTGACATATTACACAATGAAATAGTCTTGCATCTTCTGCTGATTTTCTTCATTGCACCCGCGATAATGATATTTTTCTATGCTATCGACGGACTCCAAAATGCTGAGGTCGCTGCCATCTATATTAGTGCATTAGCGCCGAACCATTCCGAGAGCACGCAGCACGTCCGAGCAGGAGCACCTCCTGCAGGGCGCCGTTTTGCTCTGCAAGTTGACTTTCTCCTAAGGCAAACGGCAGCTGCAGTGGGGAAAAGCCGGTTAGCAGAGCAAGCTGCCTTTTTTTTGTTCCAGGCGGCCGCGTCAACCGTCCGGAAGAAAAAAAAAAATATATTCTCTTTTGCGGACGGAGCGGGGAGAGGGAGCACGGAGCACCCTTTCCCCACTCCGTCCGCAAAAAAGATTTTTTTTTTTTTAAATCAACAATATTGCTTAAAAAAGAAAAAAAAAAAAAAAAAAAAAAGCCAGCGTGTTTTGCAAGTTGGCTTTTCCCCAATGCGGCCGCTCGCGTTGGTGGAAAGCGGCGCTCTTGGCAG